GGTGCAGCAATCATGCAAATCAGCTGAGATTCACAAGCGCGCACAAGACTTAAATACAGACCTCTGCCAACGCTGGTGAGCTGCCTGAACTGTTTTTTAGCTCAGCTGAGGTGCGGGAAATATAGGAGAGATAACAGCAGGAGTAGGCCCAATCAGAGGTGGTAGTTGCCGATTCTCCAAACTGGTCAAAATTTCCACTACCGGTACGCTGGAACCGGTCCAAACCGGCCGAATACCCCCTCTGATCACAAGACCCTCACTTAATGCAATCCACACCTGACCCATACCTGACATCCTCCACACCTAAGACCCATCACAACCACCTTCACTTGACATGACCTTCCCATCACGAGACCTACGGACCACACAAAGCCCTTATAAACAGAAGGACACTGTCACCCCTTAAACTCCGCTGAAGAGGTTACCTAGTCTGGTAATAAAACGTTTGGAAAGTGACCCAACAAGCTTCGGAGATGGAACTTCCACCCTTGCTTTATCTTCCCCGTCAACGTCGCACTGTGAACCGCGTGCCGCTTCTCCACCATCCCTTTCAGCGCCTTCTTCGTATTTACTAACGCAATAAGGAACTAATTTGGGTTGAACGTTTTCGACAGCTATGGCTACCGCCCACAGAATCGAGCGGGAGGTAAAAATAGGGGTTAGTGTTCCATCAGATCCAGGCTCAGGGTTGCTAAACTCTCGGTCAGATCCCCACCGCTTCAAAAGAGAAGGAGGCAAGGGGTGGATAATAGAAGGGCAGGGAAGAGGAAGTGGAGCGAATGGAAGAGAGGAGAGAGAGGAACAAAAGGGAAGGAGCAGCCCAGCCAAGCGGAGGCCGATTAGGCGGACACAAAGAGATGAAAGCGGGGGATTTAGGTCAGAGACAAATAGGATTTTAATAAAAGATGGAGCTGGGGAGAGCTTCTGCCTCACACCAGAGCCAACAGGAGAGGATTTGGGTGCCCTCCCCAGTTTGGAAGAGTAAAGTTGCCAGCAAGCAGCAGATCCTACTGTATGTATGTATACGTATAATTATGTGTGTGTGTGTCTGTGTACAGCTATAGTTATAGGCCACTAAATGAACTGTTAGAACTCAAGGACTACCTGTATATACCATATATATACTACCTGTGTGTTTGTGTTTGTGTGAAGCTCTGCACTAGAGTAGAGTAGAATGGAGAATAGAATGGAGAATGGAACAGAACAGAACAGAATAGAACATATGGAAGGGAAGGGAAAATAGAATAGAATGGGACGGAATAAGGAATGGAATAGAATAGGAATAGAATAGGGAATGGAATAAGGAATGGAATGGAATGGAATGGAATAGAATATAGAAAAGGAATAGAATAGAGTCGAGTCGAGTCGAATCGAACAGAACAGAACATATGGAAGGGAAGGGAAGGGAGAATAGAATAGAATCGGACAGAATAAGGAATGGAATAAGGAATAGAATAGAACATATGGAATGGAATGGAATGGAATGGAATGGAATGGAATGGAATGGAATAGAATAGAATAGAATAGAATAGAATAGAATAGAATAGAATAGAATAGAATAGAATAGAATAGAATAGAACATATGGAAGGGAAGGGAGAATAGAATGGAATGGAATAAGGAATAGAATAGAATAGAATTTGGAAGGGATCTCAAAGGTCTTCTAGTCCAACCCCCTGCTCAGGCAGGAAACCTTCTACCATTTCAAACAAATGGCTATCCAGTCTTTTTTTTTATTTTAAATAATCTCCAGTGTTGGAGCACACACAACTTCTAGTGGCAAGCTGTTCCACCGGTTAATGGTTCTCACTGTCAGCAAATTCCTCCTTCGTTCTAGGTCTGATGCGTTTCCACCCGTGGCTTCTTGTCCTGCCTTCAGGTGCTTTGGAAAATAGGTTGACTCCCCTCTTTCTGGGGGGGCAGCCCCTCAAATATCGGACGGCTTCTATCCTGTCTCCCTGGATCCTTCTTTTCATCAAACGAGACCTCTCCGATCCCACCGCCACCCGGATGCCTTCTGAAAGAGCCGGGTTCCTCCCCCGGCTTCTAACACGGTGAAAGATGATCTGAGCTTACAACTTACGGTAGCTGAAATATTCCTCGCTACTTGGGAGAAGATTTCTTCTAAAGGTTTCCGGAGCTGGAACGCATAACGACCTATAAAATATTGAAACCAAAAGCAACTTAGCCGTCTGTCTATCTGCTGAAGAAGGAGGCAGCATTAGCACTTTCAGCCAGAAAACCGAGTATTTCATTTTCTTTTCTTTTTTTCCTTTTCTTTTATTAGCTGTTGCCCTTTTTTGTGCGTGTGATTCAGATGGTTTTCCCCAGTGGATCGTTTTGGAGGCTAACCCAGTCCAGCAGGAAGAAAAATTGGCAGCTCTTAATTTTTACAGTATTATAAGGGGGGAAAAATATTTCTTTTAAGGAAAAAAACAAAACATGCTCATCCCAAAATTATTTACGCTGATATTAAACTCTTTTTCACGACTGGCTCTGTTTCTTCCAAATTTCTTATCGGGGTATATTCCTGAATTGGAATAGAGCCTGGTTACAAGGACAGCCAATGAATAGGCATAGCAACTCAGTCAGCCAATGAGGACTGTTTGGAAACTGAAACTAGAAGTAGCCTAGGCGTGGCTCTATATTAAGCTCTGCAGCCATGTTGAGCTCTGAGTCTGTTTTTTGGAAATGAAACTGCTTCTCTGCTGTGTGTCTTGCTTGCTTGATGAAAAGTTGAGTTGCTGTTTTGCTCTGAACCTGTAACATGTCTGCTACCGTTTGAGTTTGCTCCATGTTGGAGAAATCTACAACTGGTATTGTAAAATTTACTTTACACGTTTATAAAGAAGTTAAATGAAGCCTCAGCCATCTGTGTTTACTTTTCTGGCACTGAATTTATGCCACAAAACTCTTGAGCATTTCTTCCATCTCCTGAACTTTACAGAAAGCAACGTTGTGCGTTTGCTTCCTTCAGGAACAAATAAGGGCGGGAATCTCAGGGTTTTTATAAACGTTCGTTTAGTGACCATTCCAAGTTACGACGGCACCGGAAATAAGGGACCGTTTCCCACACTTGTGAGACCGCTGACGCACCTATCGTGGTCAGGACTCGTACGTATGATGGTTGCAGTCCTCCCCGAGACATGCAATCCATTTTTGCTGGATCCGCTTAATGACTGTGTGACTAATTTAATGGCAGAAGTTCACTTAAGAAATAAGGCAAGAAAAACTTTGCCATGGGAATTTTGGGCTCAATTCTGGGGGTACGTCAAGGACTGCCTGCATTTAGGTCACGGCCCATAGAGCAACAGGTTCTACTGTTTGGGTTTGTATTTTTCTTTTTTTAAAAATCAATTTTATTAAAGTTTTACAGTTTTAAAAACAAATCATATTTACAATTTTTGCAGTACGTTGTGGTATTGGCTTTTCCATATTCATTTACATATGTACATACATACATACATACACACACACAAACACACGTAGATCAATTACATTTACATTTTGCCTCATCTTTTGTTCCCGTTATCTAACCAAACATACCATTTCTCCCAGACCATATAGTATTCCTTTTCTTCCTTCTCCTGCAGTTCCATTGTAAGTTTCTTCATTTCCGCACAATCCGTAATTTTTTTTATTAACACATTATCTGTGCGACTACTCTCTGATTTCCAGTTTTGAGAATATGTTATTCTAGTTGCTGTCAATATGTGTATTATTATATATTCAATTTCTTTCTTGTAATCACTTCTCATTATCCTTAATAGGAACATTTCAGGCTTAAGTTCTATTTTTCCCCCAGTTATTTCTTGCAGCCAAATCCTTATTTTGTTCCAAAATTTCTTTGCTTTAGAGCACAACCACCATATCTGAAAGATGGTGCCGGGAGTCTTTTTACATTTCCAACTTATCGGGTTCAAAATTGGGTAGTTTTTGGCCAATCTCGCTGGTGCTATATGCCAATGATAAAACATTTTGTAGAGATTTTCTTTGTACATGGCTGCCATTGTTAATTTATATATTTTTTGTCCAAAGTTATTCCCAATCCTCTAGTTGTATGTTGTATCTGAAATTTTTCATCCAGGCAATCATCGTTTATTCCTGGTTTTGTATTTTTCAATTTATTGCAAAACCATACTGTACGGGAGGCTGTGACTTGGGAGGTTTTAAAATCCCCCTAGCAAATCAACAAGTTATTTAAAATTAAAGTTGCCCCCAATTACATCAAATCAGCAGGCCACTCAATGCAGCCAAAGTCAACTCAAAGGAAAGTTTACTTTTTGATATTTATTTTATTTATTTATTTTTGTCGATTGCTCACAAGATAATAGATATAAGTAAAAACATAGTAATGAATGCATGGATACATATAAGAAAAATAAAAAAAAATAAAAGAAACAATAGGACAGGGACGGTGGGCACGTTGGTGCGCTTATGCACGCCCCCCTACAGACCTCTTAGGAAAGGGGTGAGGTCAATAGTAAGACAGTCTAAGGTTAAAGTCTTTGGGGTTTGGGGAAGAAATCACACAGTGATGGATTGGTAATCTCACTGGATATAAAAGGTAGCGGTCCTGGTTCCCCCCATTAATAAATTGCATTATATTAACAAATGGCACTTTATTCTGAAGCGTATTTATACTAACCTCCAAAGGCAACAGCCGCGATGCCCAGGCCAACTCCGATGACAGATTTGGCCTATTAAAAAGAAAAGAAAAAGAAGGAAGATATTTAGAGGTCCAACACCGGAGAGAAATGGAAAAGCCACGTGCACAAGGATTCAGACACAATTTTGTAAATAAAAAAACTAAGTCAGATGCAGACAATAAAAATTTGGACTCCTAACCCGACTGCGTTGGGAGTTATGATGCTTACGCACTCAAGGTTAACCAAAACTCAAGGAAAGCTTTGGAAAAAGTCAAGGGGATATATTGGTTTCAGATGATGCTCGTCATGCTCCTGTTGGAGACTGACTCTGAGGGAGAAGAGGAACAGCCAACAGGGAGTGGAAGTGTGGCTCCGGAGGTCATGGAGGAGGCTGGGGAAGGGCAGAGGACAGCTGGGCAGTCAGAGGAAGACCCAGGCCCATCCCCTCTCCATCCTAGGGCACACAGGGTGGAGAGGATAAAGGATAGACAGGAATGTCATGGTCTACGGGGGAGGAAAGGGCCTTGATCCTCTTCATGGGCTGCAGCTGTGAGAACTGGTTAAAAGGACGGACGTGCGTATGGGCCAGTGCTGGAAACAAAGCTTGGAAATATCTCTAGTCTTGTTCCTCTCTGAGTTTGGCCTCCTTCCCAGCGTGTGTTCCAGACATCTTCAAGTCCTTATCTTGCCTGATTCCCTTAATTGCTTCAGTGTGATTTGTGTTGTTTTTACTCTTTATAATTTATAGGCATTTTTAGTTTAAACGGCATTTCCTCCTTTTCATAACTGTTCGTGGGGGAGTGTGTATGTATGTATGTATGTATGTATGTATGTATGTATGTATGTACGTACGTATCTTCCAATCTACCGGTATCATGTCTATCTCTATATCTCTGTATCCATCCATCCATCCATCCATCCATCCATTTATCTATCTATCCATCCATCTGTCCACCTACCCATCCATCCATCTATCCATCACTCCATCTATCTCTCCATCTCCATCTCTTCATCCATCCACCCATCCATCTATCTCATCTATCATATATCTTCTGCTTATCATGTCTGTCTGTTTATCCTGTCTTTCCATCTCCCTCCCTCTCTCCCTCCCTCCCTCCCTCTCTCTCTCTCTCTCTCCCTCTCTCTCTCTCCCTCCCTCCCTCCCTCTCTCTCTCTCTCTCTCTCTCTGTGCTGTCCCTCTCAATAGAGACCACTTTGAACCGCACCGAACAGCAACATATGGACGCAGAGAAAAACAAATGAACTCAAAGCTTTTTCTGAAGGCAGCGCCAGCGTCTTCCACAATGCTAACCCAACGCGCCGCACATTATTCAGAGCTGGCTTTCGTTCTGAGAGAAATCCCATTAATATTCCTAAGAGCCCAGCTGATGCACCACTTCAAGTGATTACAGTTCACTGTTGGAATTCTTGTCATGTTTTGCCTTGTTCCAAGAGGCCCAACTCCTCATTCTCAAGAATAATTCTTTCCACTTGTACAGCATCTTTAATCTAAGCCTCTTGAAATAAGTTTACAAACATTAATTCTTACAATACAAGACACACAGTAATTAGGCTGCTCATTTCGTTAATGGGAAAAGGTGATGTTTGTTGCTCTCGCCCATGTAAGACATGCACCAAAAATGAGAGAGAGAGAGAGAGAGAGAGAGAGAGAAAGAGAGAGAGAGAGAGATCTGTGGTTTTTATATTATGTGATCGAAGCGTTCTAGAGCAGTGGTCACCAACCAGGGGGCCAGGGAGCACTAGTGGTCCGCAAGAAAATTTTGGTGGTCCGCAGAGAAATGTCACCCCCAAAGCAATTAATCCAGGCTGCGCGGGAACACAAGGCTGCGCTGCCCACATGGCCCACGGGAACACAAGGCTTTTGTCACTTGCATTGTGAACAACACAAGGTAGTGAAGGGGGGGGAAGGGCAAAGGGGGGGAACTTGCCCCACTTGCCCCACGCGCCTGGCCTGGCCACCAGGCTGCTTCTTCCCGCTTCTTTTTTCTTCTGCTTCTGGCTGCACGCAAGGCAAGCAGCCCAAGTCTTTCTTTCTCTCCCCCAAACTCCGCCAGAAATGAGTCTTTGGGACAAGGCCTTCTGCTCCAACAGGCTGCGCCGGCATGACAAGTCTCACAAAGACTCATTTCTGGCGGAGTTTGGGGGAGAGAAAGAAAGACTTCTGCGGCTTCTGCTGCTTTCCTTGCATGAAACCAAAAGTCTCTCCCCTCTCTCTCCCCCTCAGAACAGAGCTGGAGATGGTATCCTGCGACTTCAGCCCCTCACAAGTCCACAGCCAGAAGAAAAAGAATGACAGACTTGGAAGGGACCTTTGGAGGTCTTCTAGTCCAACACCCTGCTCAAATCAGGAGACCTTATATCATCCTGGTCAAATGGTTGTCCAATCTATTTTTGAAAACTTCCAACGACTGAGCACCCAACAACTCCTGGAACTAACTCTTCCCATGGTCAGAAAATTTCTCCTTGCTTCTGGGTTGGATCTCCCTTTAATGATCTTCCAATAGGATTCAAGAGAGCCAAGTTCAAGTCTACTCTTAGGTCTGGATGGATGGCTACCACTGGATACTTTTAGGCCACACATCCTCTCTACTTCATCATTGTTGAGAGAGGGACATTTTTTTTCCTGTGGCTGGAAGGAAAGATAAAATACTGGTCCTTTTTCTTTCCTTTCAATAGTATTAACTGCAGTTGACAAGTCCCTGTCATGGACTTGGCAAGGTTTTCCCACAGGGAAAGGTTTGCCATTGCCTCCTTTCCAGGGCTGAGAGAAAGCAACTGGCCCAAGGCCCCTCAGCTGGCTTTGAGGCAAAGGTGGGGCTAGAACTCATGATCTCCCAGTTTCTAGTCTGATGCTTGAACCGTTACACCAAACTAGCTCTCTAGGGGTGTCTATGGAGATTCTTTCTTTGCTTTTCTTGAAGATGTTTCGCTTCTCCTCCAAGAAGCTTCCTTCAGTTCTGGAGAACTGTTCTCAAGAACTGAAGAAGCTTCTTGGATCTGAAGCGAAACGACTTCAAAGTAAAAAGGAAAGTCCAGTTGCCTTCTGAAAAAAGCACTTTGGGGATAGCTCCCTAGGATAAATTTTTAGGAAGCACTGACAATTCTCTCTCTCAAATTGCAAATGTCCAGTTGGTTTTTGAAAGGCAATAGAGAAAAATGCACCCATTTGCTTTATACAATAGCCGTAAGAAGGCCCCTTATTACTAAAAATAACACGAATTAACGTATTTGCACACATTTAATCATTTTCAAAACTTTGCATGCAGTCTTGTAATGCATTCATAAAATATGCAGTCACCGTATTTTAATTGGGGACCGGAATTTTCATTACCCAATTCCTTATAAATTATTCTGGCACAGCCATAAATTAAACCTTCCTGAGAAATCAACATAATGAAGAAACCTTCCTATAGGCGAAAACAAAGAAGCACTTTATTCCATTACTTCAAATCAAGCTCTTTTCCCAATATTAAAAAAAAAAAGTCAGCAAACCACTGTCAGTCAAAAATCATATTAGTGGTCCCCTGGATTTAAAATTATGAGTTTGGTGGTCCCTGAGGTCCAAAAGGTTGGCAACCTTTGCAATAAAGTAAACTCAACTAAATCATAAGGTTTTCCTATGTTTGTGGTGTAAAGCAATCAAATAATTGTGGAAAGTTTTGATGCATTTTAAAAGACGTGCCTCTTGGAAAAAGTTCGTGGTTTCTTAAAAAATGCTTAAAAAAGAGCTTAGAGGCTTAAAAAGAGCTTAGAGGCATCTGAAGGATTAAGCCATTTTTAATCATTAATTTTTCTGGAATTCACCTCGCCAGATCCTTTTTTTTTTTTTTTTTGGCTATCTTTGCAATAAATTAACAGGACAATCTCTTTGGAAATGAAAAGGAAAAAAAAAAGTACATCTGTCCCTATGAAATAATGCAAAAATTTCCAGCAGAATCATTGGCAAGCTACAGGTGAGCTGTCAAAGATCAGAGAAAGAATGGTAAGGCAAAGAAAGAGGAAAGAAATCGATTTGGTTGCTTCGACTACATTATTTTGGCCCATGCTCATTTTAACCGGATTTTCAAATGCTACATTAGACAATATTCAGCCCCTTGACACAAAATTCCTTAGGCATACATAAACTGAAGGTTTTTTTCCTGCTGCTTGAAATAAAACTGGGAAATGAAAGAAAAAAGATGGATGGAAAGAAGGAAGGAAGGGAGGGAGGGAGGGAGGGAGGGAGGGAGGGAGGAAGGAAGGAAGGAAGGAAGGAAGGAAGGAAGGAAGGAAGGAAGGAAGGAAG